GCTCCGTCTCTGCCGCTTGCCAGCTACGCCTCGGCCGGCGCAGGGGGCGGAACCACGCATGCGCGGTGCTCCCGGGCAGGGAAAGTCCTCGACTTACGACCGGTTGGGTAGTCCTCGACTTACGACCGGTTTAGTCCTCGACTTACGACCGGTTTAGTCCTCGACTTACGACCGGTTGGGGTCGCGGCATTAAAAAGGTTGAGAACCACTGAGGTAGAGTGTCCCTTTATCATATTTTTGTATGGTAATACCAAGTAGGAAGAGTTCTGGTTTTAGTTCTACCTCTGTTGTTAATATTTCTTCTAACCATTTTTTAACCTTGTTCCAAAAAACACGGGCTTTCAGGCCCTCTCTTAATGCAGCTTGCCCCCAAGGAAACTCCTGGCTGGCTGGGGAAGGGGGCAAGGCCGGAGCTGACCTCCCCCTGCCCGTTTTTCTCCTTTCGGCTGCAGATGTGAAGTACGTGGAGAACTCCAGCGTGGTGAAGGAGGCCCAGGAAAAAGCCAACACAGCCCTGATGGAGTACACCATCTGCCAATATCCGCACGTCACGGACAAATTCCGGCAGTTGCTCATCCAGCTGGCGGACATCCGGGCCCTCAGCATGCAGGCCGAAGATTACCTGTACCACAAACACCTGAGCGGGGAGGTGCCTTGCAACAACCTGCTGATTGAAATGCTGCATGCTAAGCGGACTTGACCCCAGGCAGGGGACGGACGGACGGACGGAGGCGGATGGAGGAGGCTGGGGCAGTGGGGAAGAGTCAGGCCAGGGGGAGGGAGTTGAGCGGGGTTGGCAATTAGGGGAGCCCTCCCCTAATCTGGGCTTGACCTCTCATTGTCCAGCCTGCTGGAATTGGGCCAATCCCACCCAATTGGGTCTTTTTGTCCCAAGATGCTGCGATGTTTGGAAAGCCGAAAGAGCAACTTAACGCTTGGAGATGGTTTGGCGGCTGAGTCTGCCGTGGGGGACCCCCAAATCTGGGGTGAGTGGGTGGGTGGGGGCAGAGAGAGGAGCTGCCCTGTCTTTTCTTCCC